CTCGCCGGACAGGTTTCTTCGCTTTAGGCACGACATTAATTTCGTCGAGCGCACTCAGGGACGTGTCGGCGCGTGTTTTTCTGCTTTTGGTGCAACATTTAATTCGCTAGGCGTGAGTTAGGGTGTTCTAGACGTGACCCCAATTGATGTTTTACATGTTTTATTATATTTTTATAAATGGTTAATTGGTTGTGTGATGTACAACTACAGATCTGATGTGAATTGCATGTTGTTGTGAATATTATGAATGTGAGAACTAATGTGTGTGTGACCATATGACTATGACTATGAGAATGTGAAACGTGATGAAATGGGATAAGACATGAAATTCTATAACAAGTGAAATGATGAGTCAATGAAGTGTGGATGTGTGACATGCATCATGTGCATCTATCTGACGGGTACGATCTGGAGTCCTAGGTGATAGTGTAGTTTGGATGTCTCGATTCTGCCCATTTTTGAGCACGAGACGTAACTTGTGCAGCTTCGCTATCCCGACCAGACCCTAGGAGTACATCCTTTTAGTTAAGAGTGTATGGATAGCTCCTTACATGTACTCCTAGACTACCTTAGATGTATTGTTTAGGCAGCACACCATTGATATGTGATATGTGACTGGCGCCACATGCATGCATTTATGAGTCGAGTCCCTAACATCATTGCATGATGAATGATTTTATATATGTTATTGTTGTATGTGTAACTTGAATTTGCACCTGGTTAATATATAGCTATGATTGTACTTGGTATGATTTTGTGTGTGTTGCTTGACTGTTATTTTTAGACCTTAACCTGAGTGAGATGTTTCTCACTCTCCTGTTTGTTCTATGTGTAATCTACTATGTTGCAAATGACCATCAACATGAGAATGTTGGTGATGAAGCTTAGGCTTCAGTTAGGCATGCTCTAATAGAATATGTGACATCAGGAAGTTGTTAGGACTAGTTAAGGATGTTGTTTACATTGAATTGTTTTCAAAACTCCAGTTTCTTTCCTTTGTAATTTCTACATTTGAGCTAATGTTTATGAGTTTATGAATGTGAATCCTCTACGTAAGATATTTGAGATTCTAGTTTATTAATGAAATATTTTAATGATTCCTATTTATTATGTAATTATGAATATAGGGTAGAAGGTGTCACACCTTGAAGATGTTTTATACTTGCCATGTTTTCAATTCAATCTGATCTCCATATCTAAGCTAATGTCCTCTTGAACTTGCCAATTGTTTTTTACATCCAACAAGGGTTTGATATGGGATTTGCAACACTAGAAGATGATTGGTATAGTTGAAGTCATTGAAGGATTATACAAGCTGGACATGTTCCCCCTTAATTCTCCAGCTCTTCACCCTGTTTTTGATTTACAAAATACAATTGATTCTATTTGTATTAGATCCATTCTTACATGTAATAAGCTGCCAATAGACATTTGGCATTTTAGATTTAGGCATACCTCTTTTGAGAGATTGCAAGTATTGAAACAAAACATATCCTATTATTGATTTTGATAAATAAAAAAAAACTTTGTTTATGGGACTTGCCATAGAGCTAAGCAAAAAATACTTTTATTTCCTAACAGTGACTCATGTTCAAATTTCCCTTTTAATCTTATTCATGTTGATATTTGGGGTCTTTTTAACATCTCCTCTATGCAATGTCATAAGTACTTCTTAACCATAATGGACGATTTCACACATTTTTCTTGGGTCTTTTTGATGTGTTCAAAAGTTGAGACACAATCCACTCTAAAGAACTTTATTCTACATGTAAAGAAACAGTTTAATGCTAAAGTAAAAATGGTCAAGTCAGACAATGGATCTTAATTCATAATGTAGAGCTTTTATGAGGAAATAGGTATTGTTCACCAAACTTCTTGTATAGAAACACCACAGCAAAATGGTATTGTGGAACAAAAGTATTCACTACAAGAAAATTCGGTATTTCAGACGGCAAAAATCCGTGGGAAATGCCCAAAATCTGTGGGTAAAGAGGCATTTCCGACGGATTACCGACAGACACTAATCCGTCGGTAAATTGGTCGTCTGAAATTTACCCACGGATTTTTATCCGTGGGTAACTTTCCCACGGATTTATCCGTGGGTAATTTCCCACGGATTTTCCCAACGGATTTATCCTTGGGTAATTTCCCACGGATTTATCCGTGGGAAATTACCCGAAATTATAATTTTTTTAAAATTTTAATAAATTTATTAATGTAACAACCCCCATATTTGGCCTCTCAAGGGTTCTATTTAACGATATTTCATTGTTTAGTGTGTTTTATCCTTACTTTTGCAATTTCTGGGAAACTTCCCAGAAGGTCACCCATCCCTGTACTACTCCAAGTCAAGCACGCTTAACTGTGAAGTTCTTATGAGTAAGCTACCGAAATGTATATGTATCTTGTCAGTATAACTTGTACAAATTAATTCATTTAAGTCATCCTCAAATATACAATCTCATATTTGTACTATAATAATAATATATAATAATTTTATATTACAAATAATAATAATTAATAATAATAATATATTTAATTATTATTTATTTATATGTACTTACTTTTATAATTAACGTCTACTTATTTTTATTTAAAATTATAATTTAAATTATTTAATTTTATAATTTATAATGCTAATATAATTTAAAAAATTATAAATATTTATTTAATACATACTTATAAATTAAATTTTAATATTTTAAATAAATTATTAATTAATTTAATATATTTATTTACCTTAAATCAAACATATAAAATTCAAAAAATATATAAAAAACATTGGACATGGGAACCCAAAAGTTTTCATAAGTATACCTCCTTTATTTTTTTTTAAAAAAAATTATAAAATATTTGTAATTTTTTTATTTTTCTAATTTTCTATTTTCATTTTTAATTTGCTACTTTTTTTTCATAATTTTTTTTCTTTTTTAGTTTTCACATACACTATTTCGTCTTCCTCTAATTTCTTATCTATTATCGAGAAAACTATACACACCTATAATATTATTGAAAACTAGTTTTACGTTTTACATGTGTGTGAAAACTAAAACCGGGAAGAGAGAAGATAAGAATAAGAAAACTGAAAGAGAAGGGGAGAGAGTAATATAAAACGAAAAGAATTAAAATTACTTACCAAAATAGGTGAGATGAAAGAAAGGTAGGAAGTACATTTAAAAATTGAAAAAATGAGGAAAGATGTATAAAAAAAAGGTACTAAATTAAATATTGTTAATGTAAAATTAAAAAATTAAAAAATATATTAAAAATATTTTAAAAAAATTAATTATTTAAAAAAAAATTGAGGTATACTTATGAAAAAAAGGAGGAGTATATATCATGAAGCAAAGATAAAAGTTATGGGCACATGGACCCGATATAGAAAGCATTGGGCACAATAACCCGAAATGTAAAAAATATTAGTGCGAAGATCCAAAATGTTGAAAGTAGTAGGTTCTAGGACCCAAATTATAAGCAAGAATGGGCATAGGAAGCATTTAGGGCTAGTAGAACTTGTGGGAACATTGGACCCATGGTAATTTTTTTAGAGGCCTAATGAAAAACATTAGGCCTATAATTTTTTTTTTCTTCTTTAACTTCCATTGGAGAAATGTGGATCGTCCAGTAAATGAAGATGTTCTTAAAAAAAAGTGAGATGTCATAACAAATTATCATCTTGAGGTTAATGCCTTTTATCTTTTTTTTATTATTTTATATATAAGTATATATATATATTTTTTTAGAAATGTTTTATTTAATATTAAAATTTTATTTTCTTGTAAATTTTATAATAATAATAATTAAATAAATGAACTTATCAAAGTAAAAAAAAAAAAAAAAAGAGTTAAATAAATGTGATATCTTTTAGTTTCCTGAAATTTAGAAAATACAAGCTGAGGCAGTTTAGTATACTCAAATTTTTTCTTTGATTAATTTTTATAATCCTTATATAATAAATATAATAATTAAAATATTCAAATAAATTGGTTTGGATGTACACCTCTGTTAATTTTACAATTTAGAACGTATAAAATGTGACAATTCATAAATTCTAAGATTTAACAAATATTTAAATAAAAAATGAACACACGACTATTTTCTACACAAAATAATTATGTGATTCTAATTCTCCATTACACATATACATAGGAGAAGGAAAATCATTCCTGTCAAACCAAAAATTAAAAAATAACAATATTGACACTTTTTTCATAATAATAATAATAATAATAATTTTAGTTTTTATAAAAATAAAATAAGCAAAATTTTTATATAAATATATTTGAGTGTCATAATTAATTTGGATAAAGTAAATATTTTAAAAGTTATAAATAGTTTGTTTAATTAATTAGAGGTAACTATTTTTATGACAAACATTGTAAGGTATTAATATTTTTCTTACATATAATCAATTTCTAAAGTCAAATTTATTTTCATAGACAACTTTTTATTATATGATTTTAAAAAATAAAAACAAAAGCAAAATTGTCCGGTTGGGTTCGTGCTATTGAAATTGGTATAAAGAAATCCTAATTTGTAGTGATATGGATTAGTATAAATTTGAATATCGCCGTTTATCTTATCACATCTATATATGCTTGTTTTGGATGACAACCAATTAATCAAAATATATGTATCTTATAAAGCAATTATTTTTTTTTTCTTTTTTCCAATCATATTTGGTTTTTAAACACATTCCTATTGATCTATTCCATGACGTGATCAAATTCTATTCCTTTTGGTAGGAAGATATAAAAAGGAAGTGATAAGGAGGAAAAAATAAAGAAAAATTAAATGGCAAGTAACACACCATAATGAACATGTCAACATTTGTCGTGTGTGCGCTATTGAGTTGTGCTATGCTGGCCAGAAATTTGCATTTAAAGTATAAGTAGGTATCATTCATTCTTTCCGACATTGTCTTTACTGTTCTTTAAATTTTATGTATCTCATTAAATATGAAGTGAGACTTATATATTTTTTATAATATGTAATAAATTTTAGTGATAATAAAATGTTTTAAAAGTTTGTGTTGCTTTTGGATGTAGCACACACAAATAAAAGAAGATATCCACAAGCAGACGCATTACCTTGTATCACAAAACAAAGGCCACAAGTTCTCAACCCTTATTCCTAGTTTTCACACAATGGAGGCACAGGTACTCATTTTCATCTTCAATTTTCTTCAGATCTTTTTTTCTTACTTTGTTTCCATTCCACATGCACATGTTCATGCTTGTTTGGTTATATTTGTAAGTATGGTTTAATTTAAAATTATTTTTGTCTACTCTTGGCATTTGGTGTCCCTCACGGGATCCAAAGCAGAAGGTGGTGTTAAAGGTTCTCACTATGATAGATGAGAAAACAAAGAAGAAAGCAATAGAAGCAGCTGCAGATATCTATGGTAATTTCATTTGTGTTTATCTTGGTAATAGATACTGTAACATGTTTTTTCTATCTGTGCCTTGGATAGATATTAATCTGTGTTAATTAAGTGTTGTTACTTTGAACAACAGGGGTTGATTCAATTGCTGCAGATGTGAAGGAACAGAAGTTAACAGTGATTGGTGAAATGGATGCAGTGGCATTGGTGAAGAAGCTGAAGAAAGTAGGGAAGGTGGATATAGTATCAGTTGGACCTGCCAAGGAAGAGAAGAAGGAAGAAAAGAAAGAGGAAAAGAAGGAAGAGAAAGCAGAAGAGAAGCCAGAAGAGAAACAGGAAGACAAAAAATAAAATACAATTTTTTTTCTTCTTTACAAATTCATCCCCCTTCTTTAATATTTTCCTATATAGATAGATACTAAGCTGCAAATTATTCATATAAATTATGAATAATGAAAAGTTTTATTGGTTCAGATGACTTTTTTGAGTATGATGGTATTAATCTCCTGCTTCTAAATTGTACCAAGAGTGTGTACAAGGCAAAACAAAATTAATGGAATAGTGAAAATCCTCTTCCATTGTGGGTCATTTTCTGTGAGCGAAGGGAAGCAAGGTCCAAAAGGGGGCTATGGGTGCACATCCATGCTTCGGTTATGCTTAGATAATTTTTTTTTTTCATAAACACCCGTAGGAAAAAAAAATCAAAACAAGTTTCTAAAAAAATTAAAATTAACTTATATGTAAAATATTTTTTTAGAAATTATCTCATTAATTTTTTCAAAATGTGTTTTCAAGTTCTGTATAGAGTATTTTAAAATATCTTTTCAACAAACGCTTTTAAGAAAAGAAAAATAAAATAATTTTTTTCATTAGTTTTTTTTAACACTAAATTTTTTTTCACAGGTTAAAATTAACTTGTACATAAATTAAAAAACATTTTGGATAAGCTGGTATGAAAAAATTTCTACAAACTAATTTATGCAAAAAAATTAAATTAAATTTACCATTTCTTTCTTATTTTCTAGAAAAGTTTATTCAAATAAACTCATGAACTAATTTTAGCTTATGAAAAATCTAATTTCTTTTTTTTAATTATTTTTAAAGTGTTTATAGAGAAACTTATTCAAACAAGTCCTAAAATAATTTTGTGAATCATTTATTGAATAGTTTGGTTAGGTTTGACTATTAAATTTTAGAGTAAATTGCATATACACATCAAGTTTTATGAGATTATCAGATTACACACTCATACTTTTTCAACCCCTAAACTAACTCCTTAATTGCCTTAATTATTGAAAAGCTATTATACTGACGCCCTTAAATGTTTGGGGGAAAAAAACCCTGTATTTAAACGTTAAAAATAGTGTGTACAATTTTATAAAATCTAAATAAAGTGCCAGTGTAATAACTCTAAATCTTATGGCTACTAAATATATATGGTCAACAATGACACGAACGTCTATTAAATTTATGGCTGTTCTAAGTTCTAACCCGAAAGTCAAGCCAATTTTAGTTAGTTATTAATTTCAAATGTTAGGCACGCCACTGTTTAACAAGTTCCACTTCAATAAATTGTACTTGCTGACATTAAATGTTTTAAAATAGGTGGAACTACTAATACAAACTACAGGCTAAGATTGATAAATTCTGTGTGGTGAGCAAAAATATCATGAGAATTGAGAAGTACAAGACTGAAAAGGAAAATACGGGGTGGGCGAGGCAGGAGCAGGAGGTCTATGTTAAACAACAGACACGTTCTATGTATAATCGTGAATCGTAATTTCCACCATAAATCACTCATGTCTTTCTATGCTTAGAATATGTCAACAACAAACGTATGCATGACTTTTATGAGAAGGCAGGGCCTTCACTACTTCAGCCTGTGAACAGAATTCTCTTTACATGACTAGGAACAGCATCAGATCCTTCAAATCTCTGAAAGAGACATTTTGACTACTTTGACGAAAGTGGATTTGAATAATAATGGTGACTCTGAATACCTTTACTGTTGCAGCATCCGTTGCGACATGAGCAGGTTGTTGTGGCCCATTGATTTCAAAGTTTTAAAAAAAAAATTACAGAAATTATAGTTAACGTGATTATTTATATTGGAAATTCAATAGTTGAGTTTTTCTACATTCTTCTTTCCATACGCACTCATATCTGATATTTGTCTTATTAATTCAAATTACATAGAATATGAATTTGAGACAACTAACTACTCATCTGCCATTCTATTTCAGCAATTTTAAGTCCTTTCTTGGATGAGAAAAATAAGATCAAAATTTCAGTGTTCTTGCTTTGCAGTAGGGGTCAACACCCTAAAATGAAACATTCGTTTTCTATTCTCCTAGTCTCTCCTCTTCCCCTCTGGGTCCTAGCCCCTACATTCTAGGGACTCTAGTACCCAAAAAAATTGTACTGATCAATTGTCCTGTTAGGCTATTATACCTTGATTGTATGTATAGGAATGCCATACGGCAACTATGTAATATTTTAATCATTCTCAACTGAACAACTCAATCAAGAATAAATAAATATACGTATAAAACCATGGTAGAAACGACCAAGAGCCACTGAGACCAAAGAAGCAATGTCCGCGTTCATCATTACAGACAGCAGCCAGATACACGAGCCCCTGGACTTGGATGATGAATGTACACACTTGGGTTCGAATTTCTGAGTTGCCAATTCCATCGGTAGAAAATTGAAGAACTTCACCCCGTATGAGGTTGTACCACCCTGTATAATTTTAATTGCAGTAAGTTATAATTTTTGTAAATGTAGTTTCAAAAGTAAATCTAATCATGTTAAAAAAGAGCCTTTGGGGAAGCCTTGACACGATACATGAAAAACCGCACCAAAGCCGCCTACCTAAGAATCACTTAGTATGATAAATCACGGAAAATTAAGCCAAAATCTGTATGTAGGAAATTGAGGAACCCTTGGAAAAAATAATTGAAACTGGCATTTGTGGTTCCTACCTATGAAAATTTTCCAGAGAACAAAGATGGAAATTGGAACAAAACAAAAGCAAGTGCAATTAGTTATGAAAAATAAAAGCAGCTCTAAGTATCAATTTGGAAAGTGGCAATTCCACAAGAGAAGATAAAACATGTAGTCATGTACTTTATCTTCAATGCTATTGATTATGCAGATGATAGTGTTTTTAAGGCCAAAAAGAGTTGTTATCTACTATAAGTAAATAGTTATAAACTTCAATATGCCTAACAGCATAGGCATCTGCAATAAAAAGATCTCATGCAAGGTGAAGATTGCATTATTGCATAGCATCCTAATTTTTTGGACTTGGTGCTCCCATTCTGCATGCCTATCAAGTATCATGTATGAACTCAGTGCAAAATATCAAGCGAACAAATGAATCATAACAATAACCTGACAATAAGAGGGGATAAGCTTTCCAATCTTCATCTTGAATGTGGCCGCAGAGTAAATATCTGTCTTTGAATCCACAGAAAAGCAACCAGCTAAAGAATGTTGGTGGAAAGCAACAAAGAAGCCAGCAGACAAAATTGGCAACACTTTATGCAGCTGGTTCTTGCTCTGGATTTGGGGAAATGCACCAATGAACCAGGAGACTTAGTCTTGGAACTCAAAAATTAAAAGGACTTAATTATAAATTTAATCTTAAAATCATGAATAAAAGACATAAGTTTCAGCTGATATAAAACAATAATCAATAACATACAATGAAAATGATGTCATTTTAAATATCAAAAGAAGGGGATGTGCACGATAATTAAATATGTAATGGATCATTTATTAAATAAATAAAAAGTCCATCCTGTAACAAAGGCCATACTTGAAAAGGATTATAGAAAACAGTCATATTATAAACTATACAAAAGACATTTCACCTCAACATATCACTGTTGACTATACAAGTGATAAATCCAAAGCAAGAAGATGACTTTAAAATCTAATACACTATTTATTCTCTTTTTTTTTTTCCCAGGGAAATACGGGTACATCTATAGATATTGTACCAAATTAATCAATCGGCTGTCAAGCATCCAGATTATAAATCCTTTATGCACTTTATAAGTTATAAATAGATACAGCAAAAGCCAATGAATAAGTTTACATACACCAGTTATAATTTAGATAACTTAAGCTCAAATAAAACTAGTTACTACCAAATGTACATAATGTTTACACTATAGTCTTTTGACTTTGCGATCATGTCATCCACGTATACTTCATGGATTGTTAAAAAAAAAAAGAATAAGAGAAGTTGTTTGAGGCAAAGGAAAGAGGATTGATTATTGTAGACGTCATTGGAGGTTTCTGGGTTCGCTTCTTATGCTTATTCTTGACTTATTTCCCATTGCTCCTCTAGTTTCTCTGGTTTTTAGTTACTTATCCTATATATTATCCTCTAGCTTGTCCTTGGCCTCATAACAACCCTAAAAAGACCTTTTGATCCTTATGTGCATGTGTGTTGGGTGTTGATTTTAAAGGCTTGCCAAGTCTATTTGTTGCTTGTTTTTCATGAGTGCTATGAGAGTATACAGTAGGCTAAACACTTGAGAGATACAGTGATATAGTACATATCTTGTGAGGTTCTGTTGCTTTGGATTCACCTCTTGAACTGACTAATTTTCTTGCCATGTTTTGAAATACTTGGATGATGTTCATAGGTATCTGGTTTCTTTGACTCCTGTGTTGCATGTTGTCTATTCCTCTCTTTTCCCAGGATTCATTAAGGAGTATGTAACTCTGTCTATTTGTGTGTTGCTACTTTTGTTTTTGTTTTTCTCCATGTGGCTCTCTTTGTTGTTCTAGATTTGTTCATTGCTCTACTTCATGATTTTGCACAGGACTGCAAAAGGCTAAGTGTGGGGGAATTTGATGAGTCATTATTTTCCCTTATTTATTTATCTTTTTGGTACTTATTTTAATTGTTGATTTGGGCTTAATCGCTTATTAATTGCACAATTTCACTATTTGGGCTTCATTAGGTCAATAATTCAAATTTTAATTAATTCCAATTCACTTGGTTTAATTTTTGTCTATTAATTATTTTTAGGTTAATTGTGAAGCATTTTTGGGCTTCGATATTATTTTTGGACTTCAAGAGATAAATGCCACATCAGCACCATTTCACCACATCAACGCCACATCATCATTTTGTTTTATTTTATTTTATTTGTTTATTTTATTGTATTTTCAGGTTAGACTTGGATAGGAGGCCCATTTTTACGTTTTAGGGTTTCTTTAGGTCCTAGGGCTGACCATGCAGCCACCAACTTTTCAGACATTGATGTGACCACGTTTTTGCTTCTTCTTCTTTACGTTTTTCTCTGTTCTTCTTCTTCTTCCATTTACGTTTGCTCTATGGTTGTATTTTGAGACTGCATTTTCATTTGAATGAATACAGATTATTAATTTCTTCTTCTTCTCTTTCTTTCTTGCATTTTCATTTTCATTTCTGTTTCAATGGAAAGCTAAAACCCTTGGGGTTGGCTCCTTGAGGGGATTGTAATCTCTGTTTGAGGTTTTATATCTATTATACATCTTTATTACATTTTCTTCTTTTTCATTGGACCTTTGTGTTAAAACGTTTTCAAAACCTGTTCATGCTTAATGAATCTGGGTTGTTGCATTAAAGCCACAGTTTGCTTAATCCTGTGGGGAGGTTTAATGTTGTACACATTTGATTAATTCGTGTCGGGAAGTCTTTGGTTAATCTTCGCTTAGTTGGTTAACTCGAATGGAACAAGGAAGTTGACAGAGAAACCTCTTAATAACTAGGGATAAGAGAGTTACAATCCAAACAAGGAGTCAACCTGTTTTACTTGTTGTGCTCCTTTGCATTTTATTGTTTTTTAAACTGATAAATCTGAACCAAACCCCTCCCCACTTCGTGTTTGAATCTTGGCAGAAAAGAGTGGTCCTTGGGAAATGACCTAGGAAAGCTTCCTAGTACTGCATTTAATTATTTTATTTGACCGGATATGGCTTCGATCAAAGCCCAATATAAAATCCATACTTATATCAACCCATGGAGAGTTAGCAACTACTAGGGGTGTGTAGGAGCCATGAGGCATTACTGTAGACTTTGCTTGTAAACAAGCTATACATCTAGAGCAAAACCTCTCAACATCCTTTCTCATGTTGGGCCAAAAGAATTTTTATTTTAGTAAGCTTAAAGTCTTCTCAACTCCAAAGTGCCCGATGAGACCACCCTCATGACTTTCTCTTACAAGGAGCTTTCTAATGGATTCTTGGCGTATACAAATTCGTTCTTCTTTATATAGGTACCCCTCAGAAACATAGAAACCTCCTTGAGGCTTAAGCAATCATTGGGTATATGTATCATTAAAATCAGTCATTGGTATACAACTCTTTAATGTGATCAAATCCCAAGATTTGGGATCCAAGGGAGACTAGCAAAGTATGTCTCCTTGAAAGGGAATCAGCAACAACATTATTTTTACCCTTCTTGTATTTGATCACATATGGGAATTGTTCCAAGAAATCTACCCATTTAGCATGCCTCTTATTAAGTTTGCCTTGACCCCTCAAATATTTTAGTGATTCATGGTCACTATGAATAAAAAACTCCTTGGGAATAAGGTAATGTTCCCAAGTTTGAAGGGCTTTAACCAAAGCATAGAGCTCTTTGTCATAGGTAGGGTAGTTAAGGGAGGGACCTTTTAATTTTTCACTAAAATAAGCAATTGGGTGTCCACCCTGTAACAGAACCGCCCCTATGCCAACCCCAGTAGCATCACATTCTAGCTCAAAAGTTTTTGAAAAATCAGGCAAAGCTAGAAGTGGTGCATGTGTGAGCTTATCCTTTAAAGTTAAGAAGGCTCTCTCTTGTTTCTCTCCCCAATGAAACTCCACATTTTTCTTTACTAACTCATTTAATGAGGAGGCAAGTGTGGAGAAATTAGGAACAAATCTTCTATAGAAGCTTGCCATCCCATGGAAGCTCCTAATATCTCCAACACTTTGAGGTGTGGGCCATTGTTGGATGGCCTTGATTTTCTCGAGGTCCACATGAACCCTTTTTTTACTAATTATAAAACCTAAGAACACAACACTATCTACACAAAAGGTACACTTTTCTAAATTTCCCAAAAGGTAGTTTTTCTTAAGAATACTAAAAACTAGCCTTAATTGTCCTATGTAATCACTTAGGCACCTACTATATATAAGAATGTCATCAAAATATACTACAACAAATTTTCTTATACAATCCCTTAAGACATGATTCATGAGACGAATATATGTACTAGGAGCATTAGTAAGCCCAAAGGGCATAACTAACGATTCATATAATCGAAGCTTGGTCTTAAAAGCGGTTTTCCATTCAGAACCTTCTTTAATTCTAATTTGATTGTAAGAATTCTTAAGATCAACCTTAGAAAATACAATGGCTCTATGAAGTTCTTCTAGCAAGCCATCAAGCCTAGGGATAGGATGTTTATATTTCACGGTGATATTGTTGATGGCTCTACTATCACAACAAATTCTTCACTTGCCATCCTTCTTGGTACCAACACTGGAACAACACAAGGACTTAAGCTCTTTCAAACCCAGCCCTTCTCTAACAATTCTTGGACTTAAGACTCTATTTATTTAGTCTCTTGTGGGTTTGTCCTATAAGTTGTCCTATTGGGTAGGCTAGCCCTAGGGACAAGATCAATTTGATGTTTTATCCCTCTAATAGGTGGAAGGATCATAAGACCCTCAGAAGGAAATAGATCATCAAATTCTTTTAAAAGGTTTTTGACCCCCTTAGGTGGAGTCTCATTTCCAGTAATTGTTGTAGTGAAAGTAAGAGTCCCCTTACAAAGAAGGATAAAAGAGGGTTGTTCAATCAAGAGGTTTTGTTTTGAAATTTCTTTCTCCTGATGAAGAACTTCTAGGGAAGGGACTCATTTCCCCCTAAAAATCTCTTTGTCCTTAGTTTTCACAAACTTTTTTCTCTCTCTTTTCTTTTTTTTTTTGTATTTTTTTCTCATTTTCTCTTTTGAGCTTCATTTGTGCTTAATCCTCTGCCACCTGTTGAGGAGAAAAAGGATGAAGCACAAACTTATTTTCCCTATGAGTAAAGGTGATCCCATTAGTAAGGCCATTATGCATGTTTTTCTTATCAAATTGTCATGGCCTTCCTAGTAAGATATGACAAGCTTCCATTGGTACTACATCACATAGCACCTCATCTTCATACTTCCCAATGGAAATCTTGACCTTTACTTATTTTTCAACTACTATATCTCCATCCTCATTAAGCCAATGCAATTGATAAGGTTTAGGATGAGGAATAGTAGTTAAACACAATTTCTCAACTAGCCTATAGCTACAACATTTGCACCATGATCCACTATCCACAATGAGAGAACATGCTTTGTTAGAAACATTGCATCTAGTATGAAATATGTTCTCCCTTTGAGATAGGGTACCACTAGATTGGTTGTTGAGGAGTCTCCTAATCATTAAGAGCCCCCTTCATAAGGAAAAGTCAACTCCGCATTTCCTTCTTTATCACTTATTTTCTCCTTGCTATCACTAGAGGAGGTAGTAGTCTCTTCTTGACTACTATAAGTGTCATGCCCCCTTAAGATCGTGACTTTCTTTATGGGGCATTGGGAGGCAATGTGGCCTCCCCCTAAACACTTAAAACATTTTATATCACTAGTCCTAGTACTAGTGTGTGGAGTGATCTTTCCTTTGCCCTTTTCCCTCCCTCTTGTAATCTTTCTTTAGAGATGAGGAGAGAGAGCTTTCTCTTTTGAAAAAGGATTTTCTCAATCTTTGTTGTTCTACCCTTACACAAAGTTGGACCAAGTCATTTAGGTCCTTGTAAGGTAGTAGCTCCACTTGGTCTCTTATCTCTAAATTAAGACCACTCAAGAATCTAGCTACATTAGTAGCTTCTTCTTCCCTAATGCAAGCCCTCATCATGTAGAGCTCCATTTGTTGTTTGTACTGTTCTACAGACATGTCTCCTTGTTGGAGCCTTTGAAGCTTATTCATAAGCTCTTTTCCATAATAGGTGGGAATATGTCTTCTCCTCAATGCACTCCTAAGGTCATTCCAATATTGGATAGGAGGGTCATTGTGGAGGCGTCTTTCTCTTTCTAAGGTTTTCCACCAATACATTGCATGCCCTTGAAAGCTTATGGTATGTCGCCACCCG